GTTACAGAAAGCCATAAACTACGTACTTGGACACTAAACAATGGTAGCTAGCAATTGAGTTGAGAAACAGAACATGTGTAAATGCTGTACAAGAACGATGGATTAAAAATAAAGTGTGTACAACTCCACTGCATCCATGTAAACAACCAGATATACAACGTAAAGAGAAATAATTTACCTGTGGGTTCTGCAGATTGAAGATAACTACGTTGCGATCAGCAGTGCCGACCGCCATTAGAGGATAACTAAGTGAGAGTGCATAGCAGCGCTCCGGAAGTTGCTGAACGTGCGCTGGATTAGGTTGTCGAATGTCCCAGTACCTTGATAGACGTAAGGTTGGACCGAACAAAATGATCAGCAATCATGTTAACAAAGTCAATTTTGTAGGTCCATTGTGTTTGTACGTATATCAGCATGGTGCTTGAAGATAATGTAGCATGGTCCTTTACAAATTATCTAACTGGACACTGCATCCACTGTTATGATGCAACATATCATGTGAAATTGGACAGAAAACACCAAATATTTGAGTCGCAGCTAATTCTAAAGGAATCAATGTAACTTGAGGTTTGTGCACATTTGATCACCTCAGAGTCTTATCCCAAGACCCACTGACAAGAAGGCTCATCTGTGGTATCCAGGCGAGTTCTTTGACCGGCGCCTCGTGCCCTGAGAAGGCCGTGGCCTGGCCGCCAGACAGCAGCGGCCACATCTTCACCACTTTGTCACAACCTCCCGAAAAAACAGTAGTCCCGTCATCCTTCCAGGCAGAGCACAGGACCTACACTAAACAACCTAGCTTAGTGGTCACAGATAATTTAGACATGGACAGAGCGACCTAGCAGTCCACAAAGGCTAAAATTGAAGATCCATGCTGAGCTAATATAAGGAAATGATAAGAAGGGCACAGTACTGGCTGATCGTGCGAAATAGACGCCTTCGCCTGGCATTGGCCGCCAGGCTGAACCTCCCAGCACCGAACCTGCGTCCAAAACCAAACAGCCCAATCGCATCTCAGAATTTCACTCACCGATTCACCAAAACAGAAAACGATTATCCGCACACATTAGGCCTCGGACGGCCGCGGTGAGCTCACCTGGTTGTCCCAGGAGGTGGCAATCAGGTGGTTCGCCTTGGGGCTGAAGCTGAGGCTGGAAACCGAGTCCCCGGGCGGCGGATTCACCTGCACGAAACGAAGGCAGTCCCCGGTCGAATCGACACATACATTAGGTTTTAGCCATTTAGACCAAGGGCAACAGTATTCGCCAAGCGCACGCACCTCGAGGGATTTGTTAGGGTTGGGGTTGGCGGCGCCGGCGCCGGCGGCGTTAAAGCTCGCCATTGGGTTTCCGAAGGTGTTGGGCGAATTTGGGGGAGGGAGGGAAGGGGCGGGGCGGGGTTTGCGGTTTGTGGGGAGGGCTTTGCTTTTATCTAAGGGCAAAATCGCGTCGGATGGACGCCAAAAGTCCCAGACCAGCAGGTGGTCGCGTTGGGTTGACGCTTTGGGGAGAAGAGTTTGGGCTTGGGATTGGGCTGAGACCAACTCGAACCGACCGAGTCAAATGGACACGCAATATGTTTTTTTTTCGATTAGGTCGTCAGTTTGGCCGGCATCCACCCCCTTGTCCACGCCAATCTGGCAGTGCATCAGCCTGACCCATTCGTTCCGTCTCGGTCGTTTATTTTCAACAAATATATTTTCATCATCACGTAGCATGTACTACAGTGCACCAAAAGGATCGCCATAACTATAGTTCATATGTTACAGTCATAGTTCATGAAAAAAGAAGCAACTAAAAGATGACCACACATCTCGGTCTTGGATGAACTTTTGCTCATGTCGGCCGCCATGATCTCCACTTTCTCCTTGGCCCCTTCTCACTTTCACTTGGGTTGACGACTAGGCCCCCACCTCTTTTTTGTGCCGCACGTTGCTCCTTATACTTTTGGCAATTGTGATTTTTCCTTCAACAATGACTGAAGGTGAATGGCTTGCCCGCATTTTGGACCTTGAAGGAATTCAAAGCTTGAAACGCCTACATATAGAGATGAAAACCAACAAGATAGATTTACGTGCATAGGAGCACGATATATGCTCATATGAACAAGGGAAGGAAGCATATACCATGTCTTTGATGCCAACGCCACTCACGGGGCGGCCAGTGACATTCTCATGAGCACCATAAAATTTGTTGCGCTCCAATTGGATGAAGTGTACAATCAAAGGAAGAAGAAGCCTAGTATATTTTGCAATGTAATTTCATTTTGTACTAGTCGATCTACGTCCAATTTGTCTTTCCATTGTGCTGTTTTTTTTTCTTGATAAATAACAAATATAAGATGCCATTCTGGGTGTCTCTAAAAAAATCTACACCAGTTTTTTGGTTTTTGTTGTTGTTTGTTTTTGAATTTACACGTAATACATGAACACCTCTTTCATACCTGTGAACATTTACGAAAATATGAAACATATTATATATATACAACAACAACAACAAAGCCTTTAGTCCCAAACAAGTTGGGGTAGGTTAGAGGTGAAACCCATAAGATCTCGCAATCAACTCATGGCTCTGGCACATGGATAGCAAGCTTCCACGCACCCCTGTCCATAGCTAGCTCTTTGTCGATACTCCAATCCTTCAGGTCTCTCTTAACGGACTCCTCCCATGTCAAAATTGGTCGACCCCGCCCTCTCTTGACATTCTCCGCACGCTTTAGCCGTCCGCTATGCACTGAAGCTTCTGAAGGCCTGCGCTGAATATGCCCAAACCATCTCAAACGATGTTGGACAAGCTTCTCCTCAATTGGTGCTACCCCAACTCTATCTCGTATATCATCATTCCGGACTCAATCCTTCCTCGTGTGGCCACACATCCATCTCAACATACGCATCTCCGCCACACCTAACTGTTGAACATGTCGCCTTTTAGTCGGCCAACACTCCGCGCCATACAACATTGCGGGTCGAACCGCCGTCCTGTAGAACTTGCCTTTTAACTTTTGTGGCACTCTCTTGTCACAGAGAATGCCAGAAGCTTGGCGCCACTTCATCCATCCGGCTTTGATTCGATGGTTCACATCTTCATCCATACCCCCATCCTCCTGCAACATTGACCCCAAATACCGAAAGGTGTCCTTCCGAGGTACCACCTGGCCATCAAGGCTAACCTCCTCCTCCTCACAGCTAGTAGTACTGAAACCGCACATCATGTACTCGATTTTAGTTCTACTAAGCCTAAACCCTTTCGATTCCAAGGTTTGTCTCCATAACTCTAACTTCCTATTTACCCCCGTCCGACTATCGTCAACTAGCACCACATCATCCGCAAAGAGCATACACCATGGGATATCTCCTTGTATACCCCTTGTGACCTCATCCATCACCAATGCAAAAAGATAAGGGCTCAAAGCTGACCCCTGATACAGTCCTATCTTAATCGGGAAGTCATCGGTGTCGACATCACTTGTTCGAACACTTGTCACAACATTATTGTACATGTCCTTGATGAGGGTAATGTACTTTGCTGGGACTTTGTGTTTCTCCAAGGCCCACCACATGACATTCCGCGGTATCTTTTCTCCAAGTCAATGAACACCATATGCAAGTCCTTCTTATGCTCCCTATATCTCTCCATAAGTTGTCATACCAAGAAAATGGCTTCCATGGTCGACCTCCCAAGCATGAAACCAAACTGATTTTTGGTCACGCTTGTCATTCTTCTTAAGCGGTGCTCAATGACTCTCTCACATAGCTTTATTGTATGGCTCATCAGCTTAATTCCACGGTAATTAGTACAACTCTGAACATATTATATATATATATGAATAATTAGTTTATATATATATATATATATATAGATTTTGAAAATCCATATATGCATTTATAAAATTTTCAAAAATATGCATTTATAAGATACATGAACATTGTAAATAAAAAAAGTATAATTTTTCAAATTCAATCAAAGTTTTTAATGCATGATGAATACTTTTAAGCATGCACCAGACGTTTTTCTCCAAAATACCCGATGATCATTTTTAGAACACATTCTGAATATTTAAGTACACTACGGTTTTTTAAACACGATGAAGAACAGAAAAAAAGTGAAACAGAAAAAGCAAAACAGAAAAGCCAAAAAAATTCCTGGCATGCTAGCTTTTTTAGGGGACCTCCTGACATACTGGTACAGTAGGAGTGATCTCGTATCGTATGGAAAACGGGAAAATAAACCGGGCAACTCCACCCCTGCGGCCACTTGATTGGGCTGCACGAATGGGCTCGCGTAGGCGAGCTCCAATTCCGTCTGGCAAATGCGTCCTCTTCTCAAAAAAAAAACAATGCGTCCTAGGCACCCCTCCCGCTTAGGTGCGCAACCGGCCATGTCCATGCATAGTTGGGTTTATCTTGTCTTGGATGGATTTTTTTTTCTGATTAATTGTCATGGATGGATTTGAATGTATTTCCTCTGTCCCAGAATATAAGAACGTTTTTGACACTATACTAATGTTAGAAACGTTCTTATATTTTGGGACGAAGAGAGTACTTTGTGTCATTTATTTGTTCTACATTTTTTGGCTTTTATATAAAATACCTGTATTAAACTTTTCATTTTTTACCATATAGTATTATTTTTTAATGATGTTCTTCTGCTCTCTCCATCTAGTTCCTTCACTACGAGATCCACCACTCCTGACGTGTTTCAAGTCTTAATTTTTGCATTTATTTTTCAAAAAAAATGTTTTTGTCCTCTTTATGTCCACACATAGGCCTTGGATTTGGTTGCGTTGGCTACTGCATGAAACTTCATGAACAACTTTGATCCCATAGGACTACGTGCCTTCAACAAAAACCACCAACAAGAGCACTTGAGTTGTACCGCATCTACTGCCTTGCAATGATAAATATCAAGGTATTTCAATGTTTCTACTTCCTCACACTACATTCCATTCTTCTACTGACCTTGGCTGTCTTACCCGAAGGTAAACGAAGACTACTACAGTATAAAATACTACTGTCATGCAGATTGTCCATTGCTTTTTTTTAGAAAAGGAGGATGACTCCTGGCCTCTGCATCTGGAAGATGCATACGGCCACTTTATTGATTATTTTCGAGGACCTTACAAAGTATTACAACAATGTGCCTGAATCCATCATCTTGGCAATATATGTCGCTACTCCTATCCAAAATGATGAAGGGGTGCTAGCTGGGCCACTATCCAAACCACTCACCTAAGCCTAACATCAAAAGCCGGAAAGCCGAAACTCATTCGGAAGCCCCAGTCGAGCCACATACCGGGTCTAGGACACAATCCGGTCAGACGCACTCGTGTGTCGTCGCCGCCATCTTCCACGGGTCTTCAGATCATATTGAGCCTTCTACCTTGTCTGGCCACTCTGCCATCGACGTCACCATGACGCCAGACAACAACCTCCTCCTGCGCGAGCCCATCTCCGCACGTCGGACGCCGAGTCTCCACAGCGCCATGCCATCAATCTCCGCCGTCATCAAAGTTTGGGATGAAACACCGCTCCACCATCCCTCCAGCCAGCACTTGCTCCAAGACGATGCCCCCAGAAGGGAAAGCGATAGAACGCCATCATCATCCGATCCGGAAGACCCAGATCTGGGGTTTCCCCCTGAGCACCCCGAACCTGATGGCGCAGACTGCCAACGATGCCTCGACCATCGGCAGTAGCTCCACCAGACGAGCGTCGCCTACGTCGCCGCAGCCTCCAAGATGAAGCTGACCAGAATGCATGTGTCGACACCGAACCGCCGCCACTTCCACCGCCGCTTGAGCAGCCCCCGAGCAACGCCTTCAGGAAGGAGCACGCCATCGTGGTGTCGTCGTCGCTTGGAAGGGGGGGGTCTGAGGTTTTCACCTGAGCTCTTGGGAGGGGTGGAAGGAAGGAGATCCTCTCCGAAGCCTCCAACGAGGGAAGCAACACCCAAAGGCATTGCCATCGGAGTGGCCGCCATGCCGACCAAAAGATTCCCCCGGAACCCTTCCAGCCACCGGATCTGCAAGGCCAACACCCAAGAACGGTGACCGAAGCCACCAAGGGCCGGATCTGCTGCAGATCGGAGTAGATCGGGGTCGAGGACGAACATCACCATGGCCACCAACATCCAGCGAGGAACCGCCGCCGCAGCCGAAGCCCACCACCTCCCCGTCATCCATATAGCCAGGAAAGTGGCCCACCTGACCACGCCGGCACCGCCCGCCGCCAAGCAGCGCTGCGTGCCACCAGCCATGGCCGCCGCCATGGATCCGAGCCGCAGGCGGGCCGCCAGCCGCGGGGCCCCGCGGGAGAGGAGAGCCGCGCGGCGGGGGGAAGACCCTACCGCCGCCGCCACGACGCGGGCTTCGCCCGGTTGTGGCCTCCGGCGGCGGCGAGGGGATTAGCTGGAGAAGGGGGGCCCGGCGGCGGCGCGGTTGGGGGCTGCCGCCCGAGTCGCCTACCCTAGGTGACGCGGGGGCCGCATTCGCCAAACAAAGATAGATAGGACTTAGATTGTCCATTGCTGATGATGGACGGATTCAACGGACGAACAATTGATCGGAGATGTCACTGGAGGGCGCTTTTGTCACGTCCTTGACGCATCGCCAACATAGCCTAATCACCAGCGTCGTTCATTTGAGGCCAGTATAATTTTGTAAGTTTTGCTAGTTTTGAGCGAACCGTTTGGTTTTCCTCCATTGCCGTTCTTTCCTGCTTTTGATAGACAACACCAAGGTTGTACAACTGGAGTGCAGGAATGGGCAGAAGACGCAGTAGGGTAAAGGGCCGGCCTACTGTCTGAAGCTGGAAAAGCCTTCTTCAGAAAGTTTGTTAACTTCCCTTCCATAGAATTCTTCATCTGTTCTTTAGACCTGCCATTCACATTTGGCTGATCGATGTCACACTTGATTCAAACGGTTGAACAGTGGACAGTGTACCAAAATTGAACAGTGTAAGTACTCTCCATCCCTGCTTGAAAATAAGGTGTATAAATTTTGTCTGAATTCAAACCGTTTTTTTTGTAATAAAAATTCAAACCGTTCAAGTAACTTGGTTGAAGTTTGCACCTTCTTTTTAGGGAAAACTTTGTTTTTGCCACTCTAGTTTTTGCCCACTTTGCTTATGCCACTCTTAGCTTTTGACAATACATCACAAATGCCATTTAGTGGCAAAAACGATAATTTTTCATTTTACTTTTGCCACTCTTAGGTTTTGCAATGTATCACAATTGCCACTCTGAAAATTTTGCTTTTGCCACTGAATGGCAAAATTGATATATTGTCAAAAGCTAAGAGTGCCAAAAATGAAATGTTAAATTTTAGAGTGGCATAAGTAAAATGGGCAAAAGCTAGAGTGGCAAAAACAAATCTTTTTAAGCACGGACGGAGTAAGTAATCGAGATCTATGAGTCTACTATAGTACGTGAGCCGTTGGTTCTCTTCTAAGCCATCAATCAAAAAGAAGGAAAAAATTAACTGAAACTCATCGATGAGAAGGAACATGAGCTCCAAGACGCCAAACAAACACAAGAACACTCATGCTGATACTCCAACACAACCTTTCTGTTCATCAGTTTATTCTCCCATGGTTACAACCATACGTACTAAGTACGTGACAACGACGATCAGTTGGCTACGAGGTAAGAGCTCGTGGTGCATCCCATGCCCATGCACGGACGCAGAGATCCGTGGGAGTGGGAGCTCGATCATGGGCAGAAGACGACCTGGTAGTCGCTGTAGGCCGGGCAGGCGCGGTACTTGCCCTCGCCGGGGCGGTGGTTTCCGTCGGGGCAGCCGGGGTCCCTGCACCGGATCACGCCGCCGTCCCCAGCTCCGCTGCAGGAGAAGTCCATGGGCAGGGTGAAGCGGTCGACGACCGATATGCCGTACCTGCCCGGGGCGCCGCCGTTCGCGAGGTTGAACTCGGCCAGCGTCGCGGGGGGCTTGCCCGAGAGCACGCAGCGCAGGGCGCCGCCGCAGTCGCCGGTCTGGCAGCCCCCGCGGCCCGTGGCGGGGTCGAAGGCGCAGCCCGTGCGCGGCCAGATCCTGCCACCCGTCCCGCCGGCCGCGAACGTCAGGGTCCACGTCTCGCCGGGCGCCAGCTGCGCGCCGCCGCCGCCGCTCACCGGCATCGCGGCCGCGCACACTGGGAAGGGGCACCGGTTGGTGATGCTGAAGGTGGCTGCGCCGGCGCCTGCCGTGAAGGCCACCAGGAGGAGGACGACGGTGAGGGCCAAAGAGGTGGCTGCCGGAGTTGCCATTGTGGTTGACTACTTGACTTTGTAGTTTGTCCCGGTGGAGCGAGCGAGCGAGGTGGGCGCGAGTGTCCGCGCAGCGCAATGGCCGGGCGTATTTGTAGAGGATGGACGCCCGTGCGAAGTCGTCGAGGAGAGAAGAATAAAAGAGAGACGGGGAGAGAGAAAGTAATAATCAAATTATGGGGAATTTCATCGCTAGTGTCTACACGAATAATCCTACACCTACGTAAATCTTGACAAGTCAGCTTTTAAGTAGGTTTACATACAAACTCTACGTACATGTAGCAAAGCCCATGTCTACACTGTGGAGTAAGTTTTTGCTGAATATAATCTCACAGTGAGGTGTTAATCTTTAGGAGAAACAAAAGAAAAGCACTTGTTTGGCGGACTCATAATCGTGTAACAAGCGCTACTAGCGAAAATGAGATCCTGGTGTCAGATCAGAAGCTTATAATCGGAGCACAGTAAAGTGAATTCGTGGCATCTTTTCGTTTTCCAAAATAATTCCTAATTTAATTTTGTCCGAGTGTTTATTGGGCTCAATAACTGTTCACTCTGTTTCATAATACAAGAACGTTTTCAACACTACATTAGTTTTTATTCAAAGTACACATGCTTCTTTTTTAACTGAACAAGTGGATCGACACCAAACAAAATGGTCTTTGGTAAATCAAGTTTCTCTTGTAGTAATTCACAAAAAAAAAAGCTCTTGCGGTGATCATGGTTAAGGCCAACTCCATTGCATGATCGTAAATGGACGTTCGTTTTGTTTAGACTCTGTCTGTTTGGGTTGATAAAACGGACAAGAGTGCCCGTTTGTGGTCGTCCGTTTGTGGTCGTCTGTGCGTTGTCGCACCCAACGGCCCTGACGCAATCGGCAAGAGTATACAAATTTAACTAAAATTCAAATAAAAACTACATGCTACATTAAACATCTAAAAGTCACGACCAACTGTTCAACATGCATTAAACTTAAACTTAAAACTTTTTATCAAAAGGAAACAAGCCGTCGCCCCGTCATGGCCGGCGTCTTCACTACATGCCATCATTGCCGTCTTCCTCGTCTGCGCCGAGGTTGACGAAGGGAGGCGGCTGCCACAGGTAGGTTGGTGGCGCCTACGCTACATGGGGGTGGGGGTGGGGGTGGTGACCATGTATCGGCGCCAACCCACAAGGCCATCGTAGACACCAACTCCGACATACACGACAGGGTCGAAGTCCACCACCAGGACTGGCCCACAGCCGCCATGTTCCATCGGGGCTCCGCATCATCTAGATCCTCCACTCCCTCGAGCTCGAGGATGGCCACGTCCCTGGCGGCCGAAAGTGCCATCTGCACCTCCAGGCCGTCCAACTGGGCATACGAACTCCATCGTCGAGTCCGCCATCACCTTCCTTACCAGCTCCTCCTCCTCTTCGGCCATCATGGGCTGATGTGGATCTGGTGGTGGCTGAAAGTGCAACTATCCCTAGGTGGTTTTGGTAATTCATAACAACATATAGCTCATTGACCTAATGCTATTCCAAGATGACTATTTCAGGAAAACTCAATGATTGGCATGACATGGATGTGAAAGTGGAACCCTCAAAATGCTAAGGACAAAGGATTGGCTCAAGCTCAAAAGCTCAAGACTCTTCATTTTATATTTTAGTGATCCAAGATCACATTGAGTCTTTAGGAAAAGCCAATACTATCAAGGAGGGATGAGGTGTTGCTTAATGAGCCTCTTGCTTCATGTGCTTAGTGATATGCTCCAAAACCCTCAACTACTTTCCCATATCCACATATGACCTAAACCCTAAGTCAAACACGGTCCCACCGATTCTTTCTATCCGGCGCAACCGAGTTTCACTTGTCATAAGCCACTGCCAAACCCTAGCAATTCGGTTCTACCGATAGGGATCTCGGTCTCACCGAGATGGGATTGCAAACTCTCTGTTTCCCTTTCGTAACTTTTCGATCTCACCGAAAGAGCGAATCGGTCCCACCGAGATTGTAGTGTAAACTCTTTGTTTCCTTTTTGTAACTTTTCGGTCTCACCGAAAGAGCAAATCGGTCCCACCGAGTTTACCTGACCAACTCTCTGGTTAGCTTATTACCAAACTCGGCCTCACCGAGTTTGTGTAATCGGTCTCATCGAGATTACGTTATGCCCAAACCCTAACCATATCGGTCCTACCGAGTTGCATGTCAGTCCCACCGAAAATCTCTAACGGTCACTAGGTTTACCTTTTCGGTCCGACCGAGTTTGTTGATTCGGTCCCACCGAGATTGGAAAACTGTGTGTAACGGTTGGATTTTGTGTGGAGGCTATATATACCCCTCCACCTCCTCTTCATTCGTGGAGAGAGCCATCAGAACACATACACAATTCCAACTCATATGTTCTGAGAGAGAACCACCTACTCATGTGTTGAGACCAAGATATTCCATTCCTACCATATGAATCTTGATCTCTAGCCTTCCCCAAGTTGCTTTCCACTCAAATCTTCTTTCCACAAAATCCAAATCCTATGAGAGAGAGTTGAGTGTTGGGGAGACTATCATTTGAAGCACAAGAGCAAGGAGTTCATCATCAACACACCATTTGTTACTTCTTGGAGAGTGGTGTCTCCTAGATTGGCTAGGTGTTACTTGGGAGCCTCCGACAAGATTGTGGAGTTGAACCAAGGAGTTTGTAAGGGCAAGGAGATCGCCTACTTCGTGAAGATCTACCGCTAGTGAGGCAAGTCCTTCGTGGGCGATGACCATGGTGGGATAGACAAGGTTGCTTCTTCGTGGACCCTTCGTGGGTGGTTGCTTCTTTGTGGACCCTTCGTGGGTGGAGCCCTCCGTGGACTCGCGCAACCATTACCCTTCGTGGACTCGCGCAACCGTTACCCTTCGTGGGTTGAAGTCTCCATCAACGGGGATGTAGGATAGCACCACCTATCCGAACCACGGGAAAAACATCTGTGTCTCCAATTGCGTTTGAATTCTCCAAACCCTTCCCTTTACATTCTTGCAAGTTGCATGCTTTACTTTCCGCTGCCAATATACTCTTTGCATGCTTGCTTGAATTGTGTGATGATTGCTTGACTTGTCCTACAATAGCTAAAATCTGCCAAGAACTAAAATTGGGAAAAGGTTAAGTTTTTATTTGGTCAAGTAGTCTAATCACCCCCCCTCTAGACATACTTTCGATCCTACAAGTGGTATCAGAGCTTTGGTCTCCATTTGCTTTGATCTCCATAGCTTTTGGTGGTCATAGCCTTGGTTTCACAACCTAGGAGAGTATGGCGTCTAGCGAGGGAAATTATCACCGTAGAGGTCCTTACTTTGATGGTACTAATTTTGCTAGTTGGAAGCATAAAATGAAAATGCATATTCTTGGACATAACCCCGCCGTTTGGGCTATTGTGTGTGTTGGTTTGCAAGGTGACTTCTTTGATGGGAAAGAACCAAACCGTGAAGCTACCGCGGATGAGTTGAAGATGTTGCAATATAATGCTCAGGCTTGTGATATTCTCTTCAACGGATTGTGCCCCGAAGAATTCAACAAAATCAGCCGTCTTGAGAATGCAAAGGAAATTTGGGACACTTTGATTGATATGCACGAAGGTACCGACTCCGTCAAGGAATCCAAGTTAGATGTGCTTCAAAGTCAACTTGACAAGTCCAAAATGAAGGATGGTGAAGGTGTCGCTGAAATGTACTCTAGGCTTGCTCTCATCACAAATGAGATTGCCGGCTTAGGAAGTGAAGAGATGACCGATAGATTCATCATCAAGAAGATTCTAAGAGTCTTGGATGGAAAATATGATATCGTGTGCACATTGATCCAAATGGTGCCCAATTACAAAGATCTCAAGCCAACGGAGGTGATTGGAAGAATAGTTGCTCATGAGATGTCACTTAAGGATAAAGAGGAACTTCACAACAAATCAAGTGGTGCCTATAAAGCCTCATGTGAAGCCCCTACATCATCAAGTGAGAAACAAGACTTCAATGAAGAATTGAGCTTAATGGTGAAGAACTTCAACAAGTTCTACAAGAGTAGAAGCAAAGATAGAAGCTTCAAGTCAAGGTCCTACAATGACAAAAGATCTTCTAGTCGAGAGCGAAACTGCTACAGTTGTGGAAGACCCGGACACTATTCCAATGAGTGTACGGCTCCCTACAAGAGAAGAGAAGATTCTCCAAAAAGAAGAAGCAAAGAAGCACCACCAAGAGAGAGAAGGAGTAGAGATGATCATTATGAACGAAGATACTCACGGAGAAGGAAGGATTCGGAAAGGAAGGAAAAATCATCAAGGAGCTACACAAAACGAAGACATCAAGCTCATGTTGGTGAATGGGTATCCGTCTCCGACTCCGACAGCCACTCCGAGAGAAGTTATCACTCCGACTCCGAAGATACTCAAGATGAAGGTGTTGCCGGTCTAGCACTTGTGTCAACCAACTCCTACGACATATTTGACTCACCAAATGAAGGAATTGGAAGATGCTTCATGGCCAAAGGTCCTAAGGTAACACACTCGAGTATGTTGATTTCAATAGTGATGAAGATGACTTGTTAGGTGATGATTTGCTTGTTGACAACTCTAGTGATGAATACTATGATGAAACGTCAATTAATCATGATAATCAAGATAAAACGAATGACAATGATAAGGAGAAGATTGAGGCTCTAACTAAAGAACTAAACACTCTTAAGTTATCTCATGAAACTATCTTCGAAGATCATCGAGAACTTTTAAGAGCTCATGAGAAATTACGCTTTGAAAAGCTCAATCTTGAGCAAGAGCATGAGTTCTTAAAAGCAATCAATGATGATCTCCGCAAGAAAAGTTCTTCTTACCCTGCCAAGCGTTTACTCTTATCCACTTACATGCCTCAAGTCAAGTCTAGTAACAAGAACAAGAAAGATTCTTCCTCTAGCAGTAACAATGATCATGCTAAATCCAATATTGTTGCTTCTAGTAGTTCTCTTGATTCCACTAATGATTCTCTTAGCCAAGTT